GATCTGTTGCAAAACAGAGACGATAACTGGTCTTCTGGGTCGGATTCCAGGCTCGCGAAGATGGTCACTGACAGCCTCCGATATCCTCCTCAAACCATGGATGCTTCCTGCAGTCTCCGTAGCTGTGGTATTGCGCTGACGTTTGTGGAACAGTCGAATGTAGCGATCCTGTGCAGGGGTGGTAATTCGTTGTCGGCCGGTTCTCGGACGGTCTGCAGTGGATTTGAACTTTGTATATCGGTCCCAAAGGCGACACATGGTGCTGGGGTGGACGTAGAACTGGCGTGTAACAGAAGACTGCGATCCCCCTCTTTGGATACGTCCTATGGCGATGTTCCGACCGGCAGCGCTGAGTCTCGGCATTTTCGAACTTGAAAAATGTTGACAATTGAATGACAAATGCTTGCCTTTTTGTAGCCACTACCACGTGTTACGAATGCCATAACTTGCAGGTGCATTTTGCTTTACCGTTTTCCTCCATGACATTTTTGAACAAGTTTGAAAACAATGCCGTTTAAGACATTGCCAATCGACAATGGCTGCGTTTTGACGCACCGTTTGTCGAATATCAGGCCACCAACATTTTCCAATTACATATATCCAATTTATTATACCGGATTTTTTGTGTAGTCAGGTTCAGTAAACTACATACTACCTGTGTACGTGTAAATCATTATGGAGATAGAAATTTACGAGTAGAGAGGCGTAGGCAGTTACGGTTACAATCCAGCCTATTAAATTTATATAATAACATGCGTACATATTGTATTACTAGCTTATCTATGTACATACCCAGTTATCATGAGCACGTGATACAATTATAGATAACAATGTGCACGGGTTTCGTGTGTGCACTGTCACATTTTTTTTTATCGAAAGTTAATTAACATTTAATAGAAATTCGGGATGGATTGGTAATTTATGGTTTGAAGATTTAAATTTTAACAAATATATTACAATGTGACTTCAAACAAAGCTAAGTGACACACTTAGAGGAAGATACTATTTTTTTCATTTTATATTGGAGCGACTTGCCGGGAATTCGTACATTAAGTGCATGTTTAAACCACGGGGTGAAATAATTCTGTATTTTGGGAGCCCAAGGCTATGCGGAGATACTGTAATAAACTGGAGCCATTTAAAGTGGTAGTCGTGTTTCAGTGAGTTTTTCAGTGACATTGGGTATAATATAGACTTACATTTATCTGATGCTATTTTACACCAGTATAGCAGAGCGTGTGGGATTTGGCCATAGTCGACTATACACAGGCTACTATAATTAATGGATGGATGGATGGATGGATGTATGGATGTAGGTTATGCAGTCGATGTCATGTTATACCCTTTGTCGAAGTATACTGAGTTATAAACTGCCGAGCAAGAGAAAGTAGACTTGAAACTCGGATTTGACCAAAAAAATGCAAACCTTATCAAAACGTTACTGGGCGGAAAACAGTCTCCGAAAAACTGCAAACTTAAGAAAAACTATGATAACCGTATCATATAAATGTCAACCGAATAACCATTTCTTGTTTGTTTGTTTTTACCAGTGTGAAATATCGGTGTATACTTTCGTTTGTCCGGCAGTGTATGTGGAGGTGATACAGATAGGACTTACGTGACATATGCATCATGTGCTAGAGAGACCCGGCAGAGCCCTGTCCCCGTTATGACTGTCGTTGGGGGAGATCGCTTAGCGGAACAGGGCCGACAAAGCTACATTAGCGCTACGATCATGGTATGTCGGTATGCATATATAGTGGAGTGGACCGCCTCCGTGGTGTAGTGGATAGAGCGTCTGCCCGGAGAGCCGAAGGTGGATGCTTCGATTCACGGCCACGTCATATCATACCAAAAGACGTTAATATAAGGTGCACACGCACGCCTGCACGTACGCGTGCGCGCACGCACGCACGCATGCACGCGCACACACACACACACACACACACACGTAGCTATGTAAGGACAATAATCTTTAACGCGATGTACAGCGCCATTTCGCCACACCTCACCTATGTTAAAGTATAGGAGTTGGGATTGACACTTGGCGCTAAGATCGGCCGTGGGTGTCATCACACAAAGCGATCTCAGCGCGACGACTGTTGCCCCGTTCCACAAAGCGATCTTAAGTCAAATGCTTTAATACAGATTTACGACAATCACAACGCTAATTTCGCTATGTGGAACCTTCCCTTGGGATCTGTATTTCTGTAGACAGTGAGATAATGTCGCGGCTCCGGACGTGTGAATGGCGACATCGTCCAGCTGATTGAAGTAACCATTCCTTCTCTCCGAAACGTGTCCTTCACATATTTTCGTTTGTTTATTTTGTTAACCTCGAACTATAAATGTTCAGGTCTGAACCGAGCGAACCAGTGATTGATATTGCCAAAAACGCCCAATGCCGTTAAAAATATTATAATTCTCGGTTTGTCAGTACCAGCTAGTGGGTTTCATCTACGACCATCTTGATATCAATCACTGGATTGTCTGGTCCAGACTCGATTATATACAGACCGCCCTGATATACCTGGAATATTGTTGAGTGCGGCGTTAAACAAACAAACACATATCTAGGACCTGCTAATTCACTCTCCTCCAAAACTAAACTTGACACGCCAAGATATAGCTAAAATATTGTTCAATGGGGCGTTTAACCCAAGTCACTCACTCACTCGTGCGTGTAGGTGCCTTGGCTGTCTTCCTCTTCACAAGCATGGCACATGCAGCGGCAAGTTATTCAACCTTGGAAATAAATCTGTACACTTAAGAAATTATTCATGTTCTTGTTTCATTATGACTAGACAATTTCGACCAACGAAATGTTTTAGATTAAACATTTAGTACGAATGTGAAAATACGAGATGTATACGAGATTCGGCAGCCTATGAAAGAGGGAAAGATAAGTCGTTATCTGGGATATATACATTGAGAGTATCTTGGCATATCTGCGTTGGTGAAAACGCGACAAAATCTCTTGCTTGGGGAGGTACGCAGACCAGAATCAGTGGCCTTTGCGTTATATCTTGCGGAATTTTCATGCTCCGAAAAACGGGGGAAAAACCATTTCCTTATTACTCGCATAAATATTTAAGAGTATACACTACCACATTAAGTTGAGCTATGATTTATGAAACGATTCCTATAAACAATAAGAATATTATTTTATATATGTCCAGACGGTAATTATCATCTACATGTATATGCGGTGTCATGTGATTGGATCGACTCCACATATAGATGGAAGTGGGTAGCTTTGAGAAGAGCCCTTACGGTGGGATGTTGAATATTTCATAAAATGCAAACAATCGAAACTGGAACGTAAGATAAGAAACTAGATTTGACATATGGAGCTTCATATGCAACTATAACAGTATATCTACAGGTTATCTCCTCCGCATATCTACAAGTACTCGTATATTTTAAAATAAGTTAAAACTGATAGACTGTTCGGCCTAACCACCATTAATACTTCACTGCGACTAACCTGCGACATTGGGTTATGTGTGTGTGTGTGGGGGGGGGGGGGGGGTGGGGGGGTGGGGGGGGGGGGGGGGGGGGTGGATGGTGCTTATTCTTTGGTCTTCTCTCATAGCGCTATGGGACCCGTGAAAATCCAAGGTACAATAGGTCTGCAGCAACCCATGCTTGCCGTAAAAGGCGAGTATGCGTGTCGTAGGGGGCGACTACCGGGATCGGGTGGTCAAGCTCCCTGACTTAGTTGACGTTGATCTTTGTCAATCACTGGATTGTCTGGTCCAGACACGATTATTTACAGACCGACGTCAAATACCTGGAATATTGCCGAGTGCGGCGTTAAACAAACAAGCAAAAAACATAGCCCTATGAACGTCATATATACTTTCGAATGCTCTTCTTAGTAATAAACTAAAATATCACCTTGTAACAAAATATGTGAGGATGTTATTCTGTGGTATGTAACTGTATGCATGGAACACATGTATGTGCCCTCATCCCTGGAATACATGAACAACAATCGAGATGATACGCGATCCAACAAGTTGTCCTTGCGTTACTTTGATAGATGGCATTTTAAGATGACGGATATTTATACTATCAAGATAGATAAAGTAAATCACAAGTAACAAAACTATACTCCATCTTTTTTAAAATAAGAGATTTTCAAATAGATTTACTACTCACATAACACCGGACCCCCCCCCCCCCCCCCCACACACACACACACACACACTTCTCTCTCTCTGTGTCTCTGACGAATACATTTATTCGTCAATCCGTTAGGTAAAACTTGAATTTATTTATATACTATATGGATCACTGCTTGTCTCTGCATATATACCTCAGAAAAAAATACCTCACAAAATTCGAAGTATTTGAGAAAGATATAAATGAAATAGATGGCATCCTTATGTCTACCCTCCACTGCATAGGCACTACCCTACATTGGTCGTGGGAGTCCGATTTCCCCAACTATCACAGGCTAGCTCCTTTAAAAAACCAGCATAACATCGCCCCAGTTTATTTACTATGATTCATGACAAATCTCTCACGAGCATAACACGTACGTCAAACTTTATTTTAAGAGGAATGCGTAAACTCGGCCTCTTCCTAAACAGTGGAAATACGCACGCATTAAAAAAAGTCGCGTAAGACGGAATATACCCATATAAGCAATCGAGAGGCGGGGTTATAAATTGTCACGCACGTGGCCGATAAATTCCATGTGTAAAATCAGTCGGACATCGGCGTGGTAGCATTATCTAATTACACGTGCGTGCTATTGGCATTTACTCAGGGCCAATAATTCAGAAAACGAAAGTGACAATAATAAAACGACTGTAAACCAGTGGTCAGGTGAAACGACGAGAGGTTTATGTTCTACTGTCTGCTGTAGTTTCACGTGAGCATTTCCACGATTCTGATTGGTGTTTCCATATGACGTCAATAACATGGAATTCCTACTGGCGCGTGAGTTCTGGAATATTTAATTTTCAACTCTAAGTCTCTTGATGAAGCTACGAAGCAAAGCGCGGAAATAAATATACTACAGAGGGCTTCTGCAGTCGATGTATTCTTATCTGCCATGTTGAGAAGAGTATTTTCAATCATGAAGAATATATCTGGGTCACTGATGACGCAAATGAACCGCCGCGCTTAGTAACCAGCAATCGACTCCTTCCGCGCAAGAAAAGAGGTCAGATTTAGGTTGGAGGGTTATTTCAGTCTTGATCGTTCCGTGGCTGGATATAGTGACGGCGAGGATTACATAAGGCTATTACTACGTTAGTTTATACCGCCTTAATCTGGTGAATATATACCAAGTGGCTATGTAAGCGGACTGATATTTTCATATCGTCCCACTATAAATACTGGACTGGTGTGTTTTCCTTTTCCTAAAATAGAACGAGCTTCAGATTTTCACCTATAACTCCTCACTGGGTAGTAAAAATAGAAACGTTAGAGTTATTTTGGTTCAATTCATGGATTTAGTCTGGTGAGACTTGTAGTGTATCGGGAACGCTGTTTATTCAATAGTGAACTCCGATTTGAAAGAAATATGTCACTTAGACGGAAGAAAGTGAAATATGAACATTTCCGTCTTATCGCGTACTGGATATTTTGACGTCCGTTAGACTTGTCATGTTATACTTCGTTATCAAACCTGTGCTAAATGACTGGCTGTCTCTCTTTCAGAATACCTTACACCCTGTAAGAAACACTGGAATCGCCGAAGGACAATTTCTTCCTACTGTACAGCGGGATTGTGACCAGCACTCCAGCCGTCAAAGGCCGTTTCATCAGTCTGTCTCACTCGGACTCATGTAGTGAACACGGCATTTTACAGACGAAGAAAAAGTCATCGCGACCCTTGAGGGTAAGTCAACATGTTGTATGTACTTATACACCCTAGCTTATGATAGTGTTGAAATATGACCTTAACGGCAACAGTTGTAGCGGTCGGAAGGCTGGTTATGTCAAATGTCAATCAAATGTTACGCCCGTGTGGAACACAGTGCCTGCGGGAAAGTTCGGACCATGTACGTAACTTTAATACTTATGTCAGCATTGCCAGACAGTATAACCACTCGGCGAAAACGGCCGACAGACTTTTAACAGGGGATATATATTCGGGTTTGTGTGAATAACTGTTATCGTACATTTAGGATGTGTTTTAGCAAGTGAGACCCGAGGCTTCGGTTAGTTCGAACTTGATGTGTTGCCAATGGCATTTGCGTCACAGACCTGCCTGTCGTTCCTAGCAACGTATCGCCTAGGTACTGCATTGGCTTGGTAAAACCGTCAAAAAACTGACGTTCACGGTAGCGCCTGCATCGCGTATTGACCGGTCCGAGTACTAGGTCCAATTATTGATATTTTTACCAACTACCTTTCCCCTGCCTGTCGTCGGCTGACTTAGCTCCACATAATCAGGCAGCTCAATCGCAATTTGTTGGTCGTGATTTTGGCCCTGAAACCAATTACCAAATCTGTTCTTCTTATACACAGCCCATCTGTAGTCATGGAGTCTATCTGCTTAGCTGTAGATAAGACAACGGGATTAGTAAAGAGTTTTCCCCATCAACGTAATGAGTTATTATCATACCCAGTGCTCGCATGTCGTGTGGACCTGGTTGTCTATGGCGATACTACCAGCTTGTGTTTTGCCAACACCTCTACTCTGGCAGCAGTATATCAATTTAATAAAAATGCTTTTGACTGTTTATGTTACCTAGATTTATTATTGTATTATTGACATGTAGTCCAACATGTTTTGCTGTATATTTCAGTGTGTTGTTTTTGTGTCTGAAAAAATTGTTCCTATTTTCATGCATTTCTGTGATTATATTTGCTCATTGTTGAATATAATAAATCAGTTTTAATTTAATTCAATCATTAAATGAATGTCATGTGTCTGTTTTTACACATGAATGATTACAGAGTGGTTACCATGTGGGTGACCTTGATAGTGTCCTCATACCTTGAACACAAAGATATGTTCATGCTATCAATCACATGTTGGCTGATTTTGACTAGTATTTGCAAGGTGCTTTCATATAGGTGAGATACAATCAGATTTGTGTTAACACATTCACTCACTCACTCAGACACTCACTGATTAGTGGTCAATGTTCTATTGATGAGTTTATAATGGCTTCTGGTCAATAGGCTATTTTCAGCTTAATAGAAGAAGAGTAAACTTGTAATACATTGTTCTACTTCTGCTGCAATCCATAGTGAGCTTACTGTAGGTGAACACACTGTTATCACATGAGGCACTTTGATGTACTAACTGTCAAACTAGGCTGTGTGATATACAGAAGACATCAACTGTGTACATCTCTGTTGCAAGTGTTGATGAGAGGTAGGGTGTTATTATTCATATATACCTGGCAACCATACCCAAATTAGTAGGAATTAGGGATTTGCATCAAGTGACATTATATTTTTGAAGGTCCTTAATTAAACCAAGCATATATGAGGTATATGTGTATCATTTTCAGTGAGGTGTAGAGCCACTTCATTCAAGACAGGCATACATTTTTCTCAGAGAGGTATTTGTGTCAGGAATGTTTAATTTTGTCTCTTCTCAATGTTTTTCATAATTTGTGATTTATTTTATAATAAGACATTGTTCTATCATGGTGTCATTTCCAGAGATTCGAACATGCGCTTGCAACTTGATGGCGTAAATTTATTCTCCCTGCAGTGTTGTTTTATTGTACGGTTTACAACTCACACTTGTCATTTATTTCTTAATTATAGGAGTTTTTGAGCCTAATTATTATTGAATGTTATGGAGGTGTTTAAGCCTATGGGCTTCATTTATTCATATATTGTTCAATATTTGATGAGCAGTTAGGAAGTATTTTTCAAAACGAATATTATATTTTTTATAGCTGTTCACACTGTCTTTGACATGTTTCATTAGAATGGGTACATGTAGGACAATTTAGGTGTTTAAAAGTTTGGAAAACAAATTGAGAAATATTGATCTAAGAAAACAAAATATCACACTTTTCAAATCTGAATCCCTGTGAGACACATTACTATCCTCTCCGAGCACTATGACTAGGAAATCCCTTGTAGATATGTGTGTTTTTGTAATATTGACAGTCAAGTGCATCTGCTAAGCACAGGAATCCAATATAAGATATTTGTTCAATAAAGGGGAATAATCTCACCAGGGTTTTATTTGTCATAATAGCTGGATATGAACAGCTGGTCAGTGTGTGTGATCCAGTTATACAATATTGTAAAATATTAACTTGGGATAAAAGAAAATGTATTCTAATACATTGATTAATATATAGTTTATTGCTTTTGGGCGTAAAATATTTGAGGCACTCCCATTGAATGGAACATGTTTCCAGTAGGGCAAAATTTGGAAAGTTAATAATTTGTGGTTTAACTTCAGATACATGTAAACATGTTTTTATATGTCTTTTCATGGGGATCAGCTGTCTCTTTGCAATATTGATATTTTCAAAAGGTTAATTTGTTTAAGCTGTGACTCCGGTCAGCATCATGTGTCTGGGTGGGACGTGCTGTATTGTCACTCCAGGGAAGTATGGCACTACTCATCTGGAACGGTCACACCTCAGTGAAGGCTCCTTATTGTCAGTGTTGGCATCATATGCCAGGACATGTTCCCTTGGCAACACACCAAAATATTTACATAAATTCCCTGTTTGTGAGAAAACTAGTATATCTAAAAATACCGTGAAATACAGTAAAATAGTTTATAACGAACATGCTTATAATGAACTGACGGATATTACGAACTTAATATTTGGTCCCGGCCATTTGCTGTATAGATGTTGTATATATGCTTATAACGAACTACGGTTATAACGAACTAAAATTAGTGGTCCATTTGAGTTCGTTATAACCGTAGTTTACTGTATAGCAATTTTCGAACAATATGTTGTTTCATGCTGAGTTGGAGGAGATGTTAATATTATTAACGAAATAATAAACTTAGGATTGTTAGAATTAGAAAATCATAGTCAAGTAGTTGGAGATAAGTGACACATGTTATAATTGAACACTTCATGTGTGAGTGTAATGCTGAGAACAGCCTGTTTGGTTTAGTTAGAATAAGGGCTTATCAGTTAATGTTGATTCGGCTGATCAGTTAATGTGGAAGAAAGTCGGGGACACTAGGACAGAGGTTGTAGACATTTTGTGTAGATTAAGGAAAGGTTCACCTGACACAATTATCAGAAAGGTCTGACCTAATTTGTGACTATAGATATAGTGAGTGACACAGGGCCACATCTGGAGGAGGGTTATGGGTAGATGTTACTGTCTGGTGACAACTGACAAACAATAACATACATTCACTTCCACAATTACTTCTTTCTCCCAATAAATGATATTAATGTACAGTTGTATGTATCAATCAATTTTAATCCTAATGTTCCTGTGACTTCACAGATTCTTTTATGTGTATGATGTTACATCAGTAACTAGGTCCTCAGCATCCCTGGTGATGATTGTCGTAAGAGGCGACGACCAGGATCGGGTGGTTAAGCTCGCTGACTTGGTTGATGCATGTCATCATATCCTAATTACGTGGTCGATACTCATGATGTCAATTACTGGATTGTCTGGTCCAGACTCGATTATTTACAGACTATGATATATAGCTGGAATATTGCTGAGTGCTGCATTAACAAACAAAAAAACAAACAAACATCAGTATTTGGAATGGTGCATATGCTTCGTTAACAGGAGATTGGCCCACTCAAATAGTACTGATCTGATTCTTGCCAGTTTAAGTTCATAACAGTTTATATTAACCTAATACATCTTCCACCATAATATTTTATTGAAGTTGAAACATTTGTTGAAAGCTTGGTACTGCTATTCCTGATCCCCCCCAATTGTGGCTGTGCATATCACTACACTAGCTGTACGGATGATCCTCAACACTGTGATTATATTGTACATGTATTTTGGCAGGTGTTTGAAGAACACATGGAAACCAGATCATTGTTTAACACTCATTTTTAAAAATGTTATTTGTACTTACAAAAACAGATTACAATTAACAGATAGGAGCTGCATGTTTTGATAAAATTATCAGAAAATAATTTTGAATATGATCTCAGGACCGATATGGAGACGACATGGTCCTTTTTAGATTGTTGATTAATGAGCATTAACATATGGAAACTGGGAAAATGAATATTGTTTCTAAAAAGTAATGATGTCTTAATAGAAGGCCCTCATTAGTTTCCCGTTGGTGTACCTGGATTAGAACAGGTCCCCGGTAACCTATGCTTGTCTTAAGACCCAGTGGGGACCAGGGTTAGAACAGGTCCCCAGTAACCTGTGCTTTTCTAAAGACCCAGTGGGGACCACGGTTAGAACAGGTCCCCGGTAACCTATGCTTGTCTAAAGACCAAGTGGGGACCAGGGTTAGAACAGGTCCCCAGTAACCTATGCTTGTCTAAAGACCCAGTGGGGACCACGGTTAGAACAGGTCCCCGGTAACCTATGCTTGTCATAAGACCCAGTGGGGACCAGGGTTAGAACAGGTCCCCGGTAACCTATGCTTGTCTAAAGACCCAGTGGGGACCAGGGTTAGAACAGGTCCCCAGTAACCTGTGCTTGTCTAAAGACCCAGTGGGGACCACGGTTAGAACAGGTCCCCGGTAACCTATGCTTGTCTAAAGACCCAGTGGGGACCACGGTTAGAACAGGTCCCCAGTAACCTATGCTTGTCTAAAGACCCAGTGGGGACCACGGTTAGAACAGGTCCCCGGTAACCTGTGCTTGTCTAAAGACCCAGTGGGGACCACGGTTAGAACAGGTCCCCGGTAACCTATGCTTGTCTAAAGACCAAGTGGGGACCACGGTTAGAACAGG